GGAGAAGGAGAAGCCGGCAGGAGAAACAACTCCCTGCGATGCGGCGAGCAAGGTATGGGTTCCAGAAAGAGTGGAGACAGTGTTGGCGCAGGCGATGAGCTTCGCAGAGTTCCGGGACAGGCGGCAGTTTTTGTTCTTGCATTTGTTCAGTGGAGTAAAGGACACATTGGCCGAAGCTCTGAGCGAAGAGCGCGCGCGCAACAAGCTGAGATTCAGGGCGGTGTCGCTGGATGCGAAAGTCGATCCAGAACTGGACCCATCGACGGTCAGGGCGGTGAAAGAGATCGAGGGCGACGTCCTGCTGGGGGAATTTGATTTTGTCCATGCTGCTCCGCCGAGCGGGACGTTTGTCCCGGTGGCCTCCACCGGGAGGATCCAAAGCTGTCCTTTGGACACATGTCATGAACTCCGCACAACAGCGCCATGCTGTTGTTTGTTGTTTTGCTGTTGTTTTGCTGTCTGGAGCATGAGGTGTCACCACCATGCAAAACATAACTGAGACACCGCGCAAACATGACCGAGACACCGCCAAAACATGACCGAGACACCACAAAAGCATGACGCCAAAACTTTCCCAACCTTGAGGCGCAAAAATGGGGGAGCGCGCGGCCAATTAGGAAAGTTTTTGGAAGAAACCGTTAGAACTGGAAGTGCAGGTTTTGAGGTCACCCCACTATAGGATCATTTTATGTATAAGGCTCGTGTGTGTGTGTGCGCGTGGAAAACCTATATATAAGGCAAGTGTCGAAGGTGTGACATTTGCGCCCCACAATAGGGTTGTAAGTTCATGTGCGCCACTGACCGGCTTCTTTTCTGGCACTTTTTTTGAAAAACAGCTTTTGGGCATGCTGCGGCCAAACGGCCAAGTCACGCCGCTGGCGGCGCAGCCGTGTGGAACCGCGGCGCGGGGCGGTGGTAAGAAGAACGTGTATACACATTACACGAAGAACACGTGACACATTTTTTCAAGCAAAAATACACACACACACCAGTCATACATTAAACAGAAGCTATGTTTTTCAGTTCTGCAGGAAATCATTTTTCCCACCAAATCTTTCCACCAAGCGCCACCATGGCGCGTGATGGCGCTTAGGCTGCAGCTGGGCGCGTGCCCTGCTCGATTGTCGGTACATGGGCATAGCGTGTTTTTTTTCGTAGCTGTAACAACTCACTACCGTTCTTTAAACGAGGCCCAGCTCGAGTGTCAGTTAGCGCGGAACGTGAGTTCTTGTTCTTCGCACCCATGGCTTTGGTGGAAGCGGTTGGAGCTGACCTTGCACCTCCACCCAACCGCGAGTTGTCATTGGCGACCATCAAGAAGTGGCGGTCTATGAGGCCAGGGAAAGTTGCGTGGGGGCAGGAGGATGTGGACGCTTGAACTGGTTTCCGTTGCAAGTTTTATTTTTTGTTTGCAATGAGTGTTTTTATTCTTGACAGACGTTGACAGCTCCCACATTAGCTCTAAGGATAGTCTGGCCCGCAAGATGCACGCCAACTCCCCCTGGAAGTTTTGGACTTGGTGGCCAACCCTGACTGGAAGGGCTCACCGCTTTTGAGTGTGGACATGGATACAAAGCCCACGGCGGCCACCCTCTCCAAGAACCACGTCTGGCTTTTGCCGATAGTGGAAGCTTGCCCAGACAAGGCTGGTCACTGGTCCTTTCTTCATTTGTTTGTGCGCACGCTTGGGTGTTTTCTCACGTTTGTTCAGGATATTTCGGGATTGTTGAGGTGCGATGAAGCATGTTCAAGTAGAGATCTTGTTCGATACAGTTGATCCCACTGACCTTTCTATCGATTAATCCTGTTGGACGCGCAAGGTCCCAAGTGGATACTTCCTGGCGGACTGCTTTCTGTACCTGGACGCTTTGTTGCATCGCCGGTTGTTCAGGCCACAGGACTGCGAGTGCCGATCAACCCTTGCGGCGAAGGAGGGATGCAAGGCGAAAGCTTGCGTTGGCGCCCTCCGCTATTTGTGGAGGAACTCGCCCGAAGGCTCTCACTACCCAAACGTGGCTGAGTTGAAAGAGCTGTTGGTGGCGTCGCCATTGCAAGGCCGCAAGAGGATGCCTGCAGAGCCACCCGTGCAGGATATTGATGAAGGCGGCCCCTTTGGTTCTGAGGAAGGTGGCGCCTTTGTTGTTGGGATTGAGGGTGATGAGGATGAGGGCATGGTTGAGGAGGCCACTCCGGCCACCAATGCTGGCTCAGCATCTGAAGACGGGGATGAGGAGAGTGGCTATGAGGCTGATGAGGCTGGCGCCGAACCTTCCGAGAGTGAGACCCAAGCCCTTCTTCGAGCACCGACTCTCCGCCTTGGAGAGGATGAGTGCAATGAAGATGCGAGCGATTTCATGCACTTCTACACCATCCATGGCTTCGTGCAGCAAGAGGATGGTGTGGAGGAGAAAAAGTTGGTCGAGCCAACTTTAGCTTTCTTTTTGGTTTGGCGAGGTTAGGGGTTCGTTCATGTTCATGCAATTGAGGCATCCCATGCTCGAGGACTACATGCTCCACTGCCGCAACGCGCTGCAAATCTTTGGTCCGATGCTCTTTGACATGGTGGCGTCAGCGGGGAATTTCCACAGGTGGCTGCGCGTCCAAAAGGCAAGGACTGATTGCAACGTAGTTGAGGGTCCAGTGATTTTATATTGCAAAACGGTCAGTCAGAAAACGGGTTTATACACACACACACCAAAAAAGCATCCGACTCCTTCCAACAGGCGTCGCCGCCTGAAGGCGCTCTTTCCACTGGGCCAACGGCCAATCCCAAGCGGTCCAAACCGCAGGCAGGAGAGTTGACGACAAACCTAAACTTTGGATTTGCCCTCAAAGGTGGAGAATAGATGGTGGAACACCCGTTTTTCCAAACACCTTCAAAAAGTATCCAAACAGGATTGCAGGGCAGCTCCACATCTCCAGCGTGTCTTCACCGCTTCATTTTGACTTTGAGGCTTGTAACTACTGTAGTTCTATTGAAGAAATTTGCAACCCTTTCTCAAATCAACCTTCAACCTATTTTCTCCAAGCCTCAAAGTCAAAAGCCATCAAGCCCGTCAGGGCTCCAAGCGTGCGGGCTGCCAAGATGCCTTCGACCTCATGCAGATGGACTCGCAGGCTGTAGATGAGGATGGGGGCTCGTGCACCAAAACCCCAGCTTGCAAGAAGCCCCGCTTGGCTGATGAGGTGAAGAAGGAATTGGAACTGACACCACCGCCGGTGCTCGGTAAACAGTCAGCTTCTAGGCGGCAAAAACCCAAACAATTTTGGAGGGAAACAACATCATTCTTAATTCTGTTCTTCCGAAAGGGGACGTCTAAAAATCATATTCGGGCTCTATGAAACCTCACACAGGATCGAAGATGACAGAAGTCTATAGCGTGCTATGTTTTTTCAAATGGTGCATTGAAAAAGCCATTCGGCAATCAACCTCCAAGTTCAGGTCTTCCAGGAATGTTAGACCAACTGAACGTCCAATTTCCAATAAGGCGAAGGTCGTGAGCAAGCTGAAGAAGCAAGAACGCCGGGAAGCCGCGCGCAAGAAGGGCTCTGCAGCGCCAGACGCCCTTGAAGATGGCAGCCTTGGGGAGAAGGCTGTTGAGTTCAAAGGGTATGATCTCCAAATTCTCCCAAGCGAAGCTCTACCACTCAAGAGTGGGTTGCACCGCGGGCGTCATTCCTACACTGTGAATCTTGATGGTGGAGCAGCAACTTAGCGTTCACAGTTCGAAGCGTTTTCGGATGAAAGGTGAACCGTCAAAGATGAAGTTTCCCTCGGATACATGCCTTGACTCAGCAAACGCAACCTCGCATTCCAATTCGTTGTTCCACTGCCCACCCTTCCAATCCAATTATGATTCTAAACCGTTCAAACTCCACTGTAGGCAATCGAAGTGCTCTGCCGAGCACGGGCCTATGTGGTGAAGAAGGTCGTGGATGGCCATTCCAAGCCTGTGGGGTCACAGATCTCAAGGGCCAAGCACTCCGGGCCAGTGACTGCTTGGGGCGAAGCCAAAGCTAGGGCTGGGGTCGCATGCACCGCGTAAGTCTTCCTTTCTAAAGTCTTCGAGGGTTTAGAACCTATGCAGCCTAAATGGTAAAACACCTTGTCCTTGGGTTTTTGTTTGGAGCACTTGATGAAGCAAGCGGTGCGTGTGCTGTTTGTTTGTAGGGGTGCCACTGCAAGACCAGGATCGCACATGCAGTGGCTTTCTCGGGGTTGATACTTAGTTTACACTATAGACTCAAGTTCATAGAGCTGTCAGCATCAGCCTGACTCGGGAGCTTGGGGTTTGCAGGGTGGAAACAGGAAAGGTATGGGACAAACGCACGATGTGTTTTCTATCAACTGCCAAACCAAACCCCCAAATCCATCAACGTACGAACAGAGATTGAGAAAACTTGTTTTTCGGAGATTCAGACTCTTCGCCAACATCTTAAGCCCTGCGTTTGCGCATTCGGCCTTCGCTCGGTCCCGCTCCAGGTACTCCTCTCATCTCTCCACCTTTGCAGACGCTGCAGCTTTGGAGGACACTGCTCAGTTCAAGCGAGAAGTCTCAATTTGGTATGAAAGGGTTGGCCAGAACGAGGTCAGAGTTCACCTCTGTATGCTACAGTAGCCGCAGCCATTTGTCAACCAGGGTTCAGCTTCAGGGATTGTCTCTAAGGGGTGTTGGAGGCCATGGTGAAGCGCGTTGTGAGGTTTGATGCAGACCGAATGCGCAAGTACACTGTTTTGAACCAGAGAAAGATGCCCTTCCAGGATGAGGAAGGTGTGTCCAGGCCCATCCAATCCAATGACCCGAAGACGAAACAGCACTCCCGCATTCTAGCCGGCCTGAACTACTTGAAGGCTCCTGTCGTAGTCTGGCCTGAGCGATCAGCATCCTGTTGACCCCCTTGTATTTGGGCACCCCACCCAGAATGCCCCTAATCCATGAACATTAGCTCGATTCCTTGCGAAGTCCAATTGAAGTGAGGTCATCGCTACTTTGGTTTCAATGATATTCTCGGTTGACACTTTGGATTTCTCAAAGCCGCTCGATCACCTGGAGCTCTTTGCTGGCCAGATGTCAGTGACCAGGGCTGAGCTTGAGGCTTGTTAGCGTCAACACTTTCAGAACATGGGAACATCCCATACAAATTCAGGGGTTGCCTTTGTGTCCTCTGGGTTTCCTTTGGGTTCAGTGCACCTCTTCAGAAGGGAATAGAATGCATAAACTATCAACCTGTCTAAGTAGAATATAACCCTATGGTTTGAGGTCTCTCGCATTCTTTGCTCCCTGTCTAGGCAGGACGCAGTGCGGCTGCAATGGATTTGGTCCTTGGGGGAGTGAAATGGATCTGGCAACCAATGCTGGGTTCTCCAATGCAGTGTACAAGGCATGTACTTTGCGTGAAGGTGGAGCAGCGCTGGTAGCTCCCGTATGCAGCTCATGGGTGTTTATGCGATCTGGTTCAATGGCATTCTTTCATGAATCTCAATTTCCATACACAGGTTTACAGAATGGTATATAGTTTGAACCAGTATGCAGTCTCCGCTTTACAGCACACTGCTCAGGTCGAGGGGATCTACTAAGCGCTCTGATTCATGCCCTATGGGAGACCTAAACTCACCAGCTGTGAGACTGGGCAACCTACTCACAGCCCGAACCATTGTGATCTTGATGATCCTGGCTGCTCAAGGAGTTTGGTTTGCGCTGGAACAGCCTTCTTCCAGCCTGATGGAGAAGCATGTTCTTTTTCAAAGGCTGGTAGGCCTTGTGTCCATCAGACGAATGTCGATCATGATGGGGGATTTCGCTGGCCCGACGCTCAAGCCAACATGGCTATATAGTAGTAACTTGGCACGTTCTTATGTGTATATACATATATATCTTTCAAGTCTACTATTTATAGATCTACTTGTATCTCTCTATATATATATATATTGATTCCTCCGTAGAAGCGTTAACATTAGAATTTGAGAATCAGGGCAGGAAGGTAGCAAGATTGCGGCCTTTGGGTGTTATTTTGTAAGTTTTCTCTACGAAAGCATGTTTTTTGCGTTGTTTCAAGGACATTTGAAGTTTTCTTCTATTAATGCATGATAATGCATGTGTTTTTTATGATTCGACGTGACATAATCCACCTGACACCCATGTTGTGCTCTGTAGCTGCACAGTGAACCGACGAAACGTGGGGGGCGGCGTATTCTTATCAACCAAAAACATCAAAATTATCAAAAATCAAGGATTTCATTGATTTTTAGTGTCCCCGTTGAATCCCGTTGAGTTCCCATTTAGTCCCCGTTGAGTCCGCGTTGAATCCCCATTTAGTCCCCGTTGAATCGCCGTTGAGTCACCGTCGACTTGCCGTTGAGTCCCCGTTGAGTCCCCGTTGAATCCCCGTTGAGTCCCCGTTGAGTCCCCGTTGAGTCCCCGTTGAGTTTCCGTTGAATCCCCGTTGAGTCCCCGTTGAGTCCCCGTTGAATCCCGTTGAGTCCCCGTTGAGGCCCTGTTGAATCCCCAATCCCAACGCAAACTCAACAGGGATTCTCGTTCAGCCCGCCGAGTGGTCCTCGCCCAACTGCTCTCCCGGTGCCTGTCGTTCCCCGCCAGCTTCCGTTTCGCTCGGTCTCTATACCCCAACAGCGCGCCCGCCGTGCCCGGCCCCACTCGTGGTTCCCTTGTCGCCGCCCCCGGCCCCCGGGCCGCCCCACCCACCCCAGCCCGGGCCATAACATTAGCTAAGTTACTGGATTACTGGCAATAGTACAATATTTTTCACAGTATTATACATTTTACTAATAGATATGGGAAAACACAAAATTTTGCCAAGCACTTTTGCCAGCATTTTCCTCTAGTCTTAACGCTTCCAAAGAAAAAACAATACATATATATATATATATTCATACATGCATATTGCTGTATAGTTCCCAGCCGCCCACGCTTCAATTCAGGCCACGTGGACGTCCAAGACATCGAACGCTTCAAAGTTGCCCGCCGTCTCGATCCTCAGCGTGAAATGGTGCGGCACTACCAAGATGGCAAAGGCCGTGCGCGGATTACTGGAGGTTCCGCGCTGAAATCAAGCCAAACCTATCCTCGATAGCTACTCGGCCCTCTTAGTTGTATAACTCACTTGTTCATCTTAAGGGCCATTGCAAAGAAAAAAGGGTGACCTTTTTCATCTCTTTTGGAAGGCCTTTACAATGAAAAAAGGACACCCCCTCTGTGCACATGGTTCTCTTAGTTTCTCAGCTCCCACGTCCCCACTCCTACGCGCCGCCCAGTTTTGGACAAGCCCTATCTATTTGCAGAACGCTCCACAAGGCTAAGCGTGCGAAGATGGCTCGTGCTTTGTATAGGGCGGCCCGGAAGTCTGACCGGAAGGTCGATGAACGACCCAGGATAAACAAGATCTGGGCGGACCATGCAGACTTGCACAGTGTCCTCAAATATTTATCCCGTTAGGGGACAGGCCGTGATATATATACATAAACGTATACATATACATATGTATATATATATATATGCATGCTTGTTTCAACAAAACCTCACACCACATATATGCCATAGTATATATTACGTGTTTGTTCACATCTGTTCACAAAAATTTGTGAAGTATCGTGCAACCCACTTTGGCGCCTGTCCTTCATATCTTGCAGTTTCCCACGCTGACAACGGTGTGGGTAATTTGACCTGCTGTGTATTTGGGATGGAATGGGGAAAACGAAGCTTGGTGTGAGAAGACCGCTGGACTCTTTTGATCCCTTTGGATGCTTTATCAAACCAATCTTGATGCTTCCAATTCACAGCCTTTTGAAACCAGGAGGCCAGAAGGAAGGTTAGTGTTTCCATTGCCAAGAACCAGGAGGGGTTGAAGAACATATTTTTCAACCTCTCCTGGAAACTCAGCGCGCAGGACACCATGCCCCGCGTGTTCTTGAAAAGGAAGCAATCCTTGGGTACTAGCTTCACCCAGTACAGCTGGGAGGGTGGGGTTGGCAGTGGGCAGACCTGTGCCACAGTGACACGCTGGGGCCAGGCACAAAAAACCTAACACGCAAATAACTTGCATTGGGCGCACGCTTCGGGCCATTGTGGCAGCTCGGAGGCGAAGTAATTGCGATAGTTGTGCTAAGAACAGGATTACACCATTCAAAAACGAAGAACCGTTTGCAGAAACCTGCCGTTTGCCGACTGGCAAGGTCCTTTTGATCAAACTTACTAGTTTTGTTTTTGCGCCGCAAAGAAAACCACAAAGACTTCCCTCAAATTTTGCTGAGTTTTTGTTGCCTACAAAACAAACGCCACACCAAGAATGACCGTTCACCAGGCATCCTTTCAGCTGGCAAACAGACGCAAAGAATGACCGTCAACCAACACACAGAGAATGACCATTCTGCAGGCATCCATTCAGCTGCCAAACGCACACACGATGGGTGCTCCGCGGAGCTGGGCTTCAGAGTTGCGTGGTGAGCATTAGCACTTTATGTAACTGCATTAGCCGATGAATACTTATAGCCCTTGACTTGAAGGAACCGCAAGAATGCAAAGTCAGTCAAACAGAATGTTTCAACGAGAAATTGAATTGAAGTGATTAAAAATTTGCAGGCACGCCAGGATGGCCAATCCTGGTATCCCGTGTTCAGACTAGCTTCGTTGGGCGTAGTCATCTGAACACGCTACGCCCCCCTGTCTAAAGCTGTACAATGAGCGAATGAATGAAATTGGTTAGAGGGAAGGTATTAGCGCCGCTGGAAACGGGGTGTGACACACACAGAAGCCGTAACGGCGCAGTTAGGTAGGATGCGTGGGTGTGAGTTGCACGACTGCAGTCCCAACATGCAATGCAGCTCGACTCAATCGGCAATGTAAATCTTTTTCTACCTCGAGACTGCACCGCTGCAGCGCAATGTACTGGTAAGTGACCATTTGTCACATAGAGCTGAACCAATGCTTGGGGTGGGGTGGAAGCAAGGTCTGGTGGGAAGAAGCTTGCAACCACCCCGCAGTCTTGTGGTTAGAGTGGTAGGAAACGGAAAAGGAAGTAGGAGAACCGAAAGCTAGATTAAAACTTAAAGATTGAAATTGGGATATCTCCTGGGGTGAAACGAATTCAGAGAGGAATGTCAGTAAGCTCTGCAGCAAGATTCAGAGGTGAAACGTTTTCCATCGCAATCATACTTCAAGCAAGACATTCAGCTTCGGTTGTCTGAGGTCCGGACTGGACTATACAGTGGATTCTCTCCAATAAAGGAGTAGCTTACCACAGTGGGAAGAAGCTGCGAATCACACTTAGGATGGGTGCTCCGGGGAGCTGGGCTTCAGTGTTGCGCGGTGAGCATTAGCACTTCATGTTATTGCATTAGCCGATGAATACTTAGCCCTTGATTTGAAGGAACCGCATTGGGCGGTGGCCAAATGAACACCGATTTGGGCGGTGGCCAAACGAAGTGGAAAAGGAGAAAATTGCAAATCCCAAGTGCGATTCAACAAGTCTGAAACCAAGTGGGAAATTGCAAATGGAAACCAGATGACCAGAAAAGGCAAGAATTCATCCAAAACGATGAAAACTCATCAAAAAACGCGCAAACATACTGCGCACGCTGCGGCTGCTACGCAAACCCACAAAAAAAATTACATTTTGAAGAAATTCTAAGAAAAACGACTCGAATTGACCAGCAAGCAATTGAGAACTCATCAAAACCGTTGAAAAAGAGTGGGGGAGCCACAAAAAACTAAAAAAACTCAACAGAATACTATCCTCATGGCCTGAACGCTTGTTTTGCGTAGACTTCGACAAGAATTGCAAAGAATTTCACAGAGGCAGATGGCAAATCAGTCACTGGCTGGAGAATTGATCAAGAGTGGCTGGAGGGTTGCTGCAGAGTCGCTCCAGAGTCGCTGGAGAGTCGCTGGAGGGTCGCTGGAGAGTCGCTGAAGAGTCGCTGGAGAGTCGCTGGAGAGTCGCTGGAGAGTCGCTGGAGGGTCGCTGGCTGTCTAAGAGGCTCTACAACGCAAGTTCTACAACGCGGCGTGCAGTTTGAGGTCGGCGTGGGCAACTAACACCAAAATGATTGCATTTATCGCGGTTGGGTACCAAACGATGAGAAAATCGTGGAAAATATGAACCACAATCGGAAATCATAAAGAAAACGCAGAAAAAACAACAAAAAACAACCGTAGAAGGTGAGTTGACTCAACTTTACAGGGTTCAACGCAGGAAATCATCAAAAAATGAAAAAAACATAGAAGAAAATAGGAAAAGATACAAGAAAAAGGTGATCTGACACAGTTGTAGACCAAACCAAGCAAAGCTTCTACAAATCAAGGCAAAATCATTGAACGAACAGCCCCTTCAAAATCATGGTCGCGGGAGGGTCGGTGGGTCTGGCTGTCTAAGAGGCTCTACAACACAAGTTCTGCAACGCGACGTGCAATTTGAGGTAGGCATGGGCAACTAACACAAAAATAATTGCATTTTTATTTCAGTTGGGTGCCAAACGATGAGAAATTCATGGAAAATATGAGCTACTGCAGGGAATCTTCAAGCAAAACGCAAAAGTAGAGAAAAATGACAAAACTAGACAACCGTAGAAGGTGGCCTGACTCAGCTTGACAGGGGCCAATGCAGGAAATCATCAAAAAAAGCAAAAACATGATGAATAGAGGAAAAGGCTGAAAGAAGAAGGTGATCTGACACAGTTGTAGACCAAACCAAGCAAAGCTTCTACAAATCAACGCAAAATCATTGAAGTAACAGCCCCTTCAAAATCATGGTCGCGGGAGGGTCAGTGGAGGGTCTGGCTGTCTAAGAGGCTCTACAACGCAAGTTCTGCGACACGACGTGCAATTTGAGGTAGGCATGGGCAACTAACACAAAAATGATTGCATTTATTGCAGTTGGGTGCCAAACGATGAGAAAATCATGGAAAATATGAGCTACTGCAGGAAATCTTCAAGCAAAACGCAAAAGTAGATAAAAATGACAAAACTAGACCACCGTAGAAGGTGGCCTAGAAGGTGGCCTGACTCAGCTTGACAGGGGCCAACGCATGAAATCATCAAAAAACAAAAACATGAGGAATAGAGGAAAAGACTAAAAGAACAAGGTGATCTGACACAGTTGTAGACCAAACCAAGCAAAGCTTCTACAAATCAACGCAAAAATCATGGAACTAACAGCACCTGTCTGGCGCAAGCAAGCGCTGCGTTGCAATGACTCTATACTACATATATATAAGAGAACAATCCTTACAGTTTAAAGAGCCACAGAAGCTACAAAGAATACCTTTTTTGTCAGATGAAAGCTAGAACGCTGTCTGGCAATCATTTTTCAGCACCTTAAACACGTTTGAGCCCCAATCATCTCCCAAAAAGATTGCGGCGCAGGCACAGAGCCTGAAGAATCTGGGAGGAGCCAGCTCCTACCAACCAGCAAGCTGTTCTAACTAAACAAGGCTATATCTAGTTTGTTAGGGTGGGAGAGAGGTTTTGCGTTCCTCCCACCCCAACCAAGCACGAGCACCAGTACAAAAGCAAGCGCAGCTTAGGGAGCGCGAGCGAATTGCAGTGCCACTTGCGGGCCAAATGCTCCCCAAGACCCGCGCAAACGCAAACTGATTAAACTGCCTGGGTTCCCAGGATGGTGGACATAGGCGCTGCGTAAAACGTGTCTGTGGTGAAGCTAGTATCCTTGGGTGAAGCCAGCCTGTTTTTGCGCTCAAAACACGAAACACGGCGTGCGAAGCGTCTGAACTGGCAAGTTTTGGCGCAAAACCAATGTGAAGTGCATCGCGCGTAATTTTTCATTTTGCAAAGAAAAACTGTAGTGCGAATGGGAGCGAAATTGCTGCGACTAGTTGCGAAATGCTGCGATTGGTAGATCCATCACAATTCATCCAGTTTCTGATCAGTTTTGTAAACGTATCTCCTGAGCTCTTGCATTCCACTCGCTGCGAAATCAGTGCGAACACATGCGAAACGTGTGTTAGCTAGCTCAAGTCTTGCCTTTGCCTTTGCCTTCTTGCCGCCCACCTCTTGGCATGGCGCCGCCAGACAGGAGGGTCAGGGGGAAGAGCAGGGATGCTGGCGGTGAGGGCCAAGAAGTCAAGAAGAGGCCTTCCGCTTTGAGAACCTCGTCCACTTCAAAAGCTGACGAGAAGAGCTCGACAAAAAGGGTTAAGATCGCAGAGCCTACCAAAGAAGAGAGCAAGGGCAAAGCGGCAGCGAATGCCGAATCGGCTCAGGCTAAGAAGGTGAAGCCTGCGCCAAGTCTTGCAACACCTAAACAGGTGGAGGACTCAATCCGAAGGGCGGGGAGGGCAGCTGCAGCTGCTGCTGAGGCTTCAAAGAAGAAGGAGAAAGATCACAGCAAGACGAAGGAGAAAGCTGAGAAACCCATCGTCTATGTCCCTCTGGTCAAGAAAAAGGTTGACCACCTTTTTGGCTCTGGTGTCACAACTCCGCCAACCAAGCGCAAGGCTCCTAGCACTTCGTCAATGTCAAGCTCAGCCAAGCAGAAGCTCGAACACTTGAAGAATACCCTTGAGCCATCGCCTGAAGCGGATGCTTCAGAAGAGGATGAAGATGAGGAAGCTGGCGATGAAGAGAGCGACAATGATGATTGCAGTGCCAGTGATGGAGGTGACAAGGAAGATGAAGAGGCTGCAACAGCCATGTGCAGTGAGGAGGAGGGGGATGAGAGCCCGGATGGTGAAGAGGGGGAAGGGCCAGAGGAGGAGGATGAAGGGGAAGACGAGCAGAGCTCGCAAGATGATGAGGGTGAGGAGGAAGATGATGATCCGGTGGCATTGGACAAATTTCCTGACAAGGTCCCTGCTGCCAAAGATGCAGAGCCCGCAAAGCCCAAGCCCAAACTTCGCAATTCAGTCACAAACAAACGGGAGTGGGATTCCTTTGTCCGCTCTAACGGGCGGTTCAAGGTCCATGATTTCTACCAGAACAGCAAGCTTGAGTGCTTCAATATGTGGTTGGACTGTGGCAAGTCCTGGGATGCAGTGGCGCTGCAAGTCAAGCGCAAGCACGAGGAGGAGACGGAGTCCAGTCGAGGCTGGATCGCAAAGCAAGGGCGAACGCTAAAGGAGGAGAAGGGGGCTGAGAAGGCGGCCAAGATCATGCAGGCCAGGCGCAATGCTGGAATGTACTATGAAGATGAAGATTTTCCTGGAGATGAAGATGAGCTTTCGCTGAGCTGTAGCAATGTTCTTTGTTTGATCCCGCGCTTTCTCCCAATCATTTGCCCTATAGAAATAGACCCTGCACCCCATTTGTTCACTGCTGAGGAGTGCTGGTATTGGGTCCGAGCGCCACAGCAAATGACGCACAAGGATCGAACAAAGGAGCGGGGTTGCTAAAGTGCATGATCTTGGTGAGTGGTGAATTTGTTCCTATAGGGTTGCACCTTGTTGAGTCGTATCCCACCACTTGTGTTGCATCTTGTTGAGTTGCCGGCCCCATCAGGAGTCCACTATGCTCAAAGCGGATGCAAAAGTGGACAGTGGCCTTCTGGCTGCTATCACTGATGCTGATGAGGGCTTCATGCGGCCAGGTGCAATGCCAACGCCGGCAGCGGCATCTTCTGCTGGCGCCAAAGCCCTTTTGGATGGCTTGAGCGAGAAGGTGGGTTGGAAGAAACAAATCAAAGCGAAGGGTTGAGCAAACGAAACATTAAGGGCGGTTTGCCCTAAAGTTATTTGGTGAAGATTTCAATTTGGCATTGACCTGCCAACTGGTGGTGAAAAAGAAGGCAAAGCCGCCCAAACCAGAGAAGCTGGAGGATGTCAAGAAGACCAGCCGAGCAGAGCGGGTGCAGCAAAAAATGCATGACTGCCTGAAAGATGCGCAGTCAGCTCGAACGAATGGTGTGGCGCTCCGCGGGGTTGAGTACGCGGACAAACTGAGCAAGAAGATTTGCAACCATGCTGACCAGGTTGAGGATCTCTTCACGAAAGTGAAGGATGCGGTCAAGAAGGGTTGCAGTTCTGAGCTCACTAGGCTCGAAGCGGAGATCGATGCGAAGAACACGTCCACCCAGCAGCGGCAGGCTTGAGTGCTTGTGGTTAGTCGCGTTTTCTTTCAAACACTCTTTAACAAAGGCTTGTGGTAAGCCATGGCCATGTCACACTTCAGTGAGGCATGTCCCACACCCATGCTTGAGACCCTGCACAGGGCGCTGCAAAGGCTTTTCTGTCGAGCCTGAAGCCCAAGAAGAACAATCGCAAGGCGACCAAGAAGGCTGACAAGTAAGTTATGATGAGGGTTTGGAGTTGCATCGCAACTCCATAGGGGGATGCCAAGTGATATCACTTGGCGGTGGCCATCTGGCAAGCCGCTTAGGCAAGCGCTTTGTTTCAACAGGTTCAAGAGTAGTGCTTCCTATAGGTCCATAATTTGAAACCACCTTTCATTTCACAAGCTTTTGATTTTTCCATTGCCTGCAGGTTCACGCCTAGTGCTCCCTATAGGTCAGATTTTCTCAACAACCTTTCACTCCTTGTGCTTTGTGTGTAATTTTGCAAACGCCTTTACTCATTGCATGCGGCTTCCAGCTCTGGTGACATTTTGATTAGAGTTCCATCGAGGTAGTGCCACTTTATCGGCTTAGAGAGAAAACAATCTTGTGTGTGCACGCGTCGCTCACCCCACGCGAGGGTTAAGGAAACCAGGTTGTCGTCTCGCCCCATCCTGTCTCGTGCCAGGATCCTTGCCATCCTTCAGGCACGGGGCCCCGGCGTGTGCGAAGTCGGTCTTCCATCGGGCCCAGGAAAAGGCGCCGGCTGGAAGAGTACACTCCATCAGGGACGGTTGAAACATTGTTGAATATGGTTTCACACGGGAAGCTCTCAGTATCTGGAGCAGTGGACCTTGCCAACAACATGGTTGATGACGGGACAATCCATAAGGCTGTGCATGCCTTTGCCTCACTGGGGTGCAGTGGCACTTACCCAAGCAAGTGTGAAAGAGATCTCTTTAGATGGTTGTCTTCACTGTTTGGGTTCCGGCTCCAGCCGTACATTGTCCCCATGAAGCTGCAGGAAACTAGGCGTAAAGAACACGTTTTCCAATTCGTTTTTATAACTTCCCACTTTCTGTGACATACGTATGTTCTTTGGTGGGCCAGGGCTTCATTCTTAGGTTGATGGGTACGCAACGAAAGAGCAGCAAGTGCGTGTTCTTTTGCCCCATGAGATTCTACATGCTCTATCAGAGCACCCGTTTGCTTTTGATTCATTGATCAAAGGCAACATGGACGAATTGAGTAGGATGCGGTTTTGGAAGCACTGCTTCAAGCTCGACCCTTGGAAAGGACACCCTGCGTCCCGCCTGCCCCTATGCAAACTCATACCTATTGCTATCCACAACGATGGGGCAGAAATCTATTCTGACGATGAGTTCTGCATATGGAGCTTGTCCAGCGTCTTTGGTGCAAAAGGTCTCATTCAAGACGTGCTACTTCACAAATTTCCCTTCATCATTATTGCGGAGCGGCATATGAGGTCTGAAGCGGAACCTAAGCACTATTTACCAGCTGGCTGCCCCTCAAAAAGGAAACCAAATAGATCGAATCTGCCCACCAACTTTTTCTGGGGTGGCCACTGCCAAACTTTCTCCATATTCTTACCCAAAGGTCTGAGCGCCCCAAACCCTGTGACAAAGAAGAGCCCGCCCGTGCCAGCTCAGGTTAAACACCAAGTGAACAAAACTGCGGCTGAACTCTTTGCCTGGTCGATCCAATGCTCCATGGACGGAGTTGCACCTGCCAAAGGTTCTTTGGGGAGGAGCTCACGGGTTTTAGAGCTGAAATCGCAGGCCAGACTCTGGCTCAGGGATGGAGGAACCTTTCTTCAGTGCAACAAAACGTTCTGGAGATGTTCTCCAAATGCAAACGTCCCCAATACACATTTGTGTGTTTTATACCATCTTACACCTCTTTTGAAGTGATCTAAGGGGATGCTACTTTAGCACGAAGGCAGACCTTAAGGCAAGGAAGCTCATGCACAGCTTTACTCGGAGCTACCAGTCCAATCAGACCCTTGGTTTGGATAGACATCAGCTTTTCATTTCAGGGTGGTTCAAACCAAAACAAGCTAGGGGGCCATGCAATTAAGGATGTGTGACAGTTGCCTTGCATCCGGTGGGAAGGGGTGTGCTGATGATATCAACTACAAAAATACATCTGATGGAGCTTCGTGGAGGTTGACGCTGTTGGATCACCAGCAGTATCTACAAATGCCCGGCCACACTCCGAATGGAGGGTGGTCCCAGGCTGGAAGCTGGAGACTGTCGCTTATGATTGGATGCACAATGTGTTTGTAGGCACAGCCCGTGACCTCGTTGCTTCCACCATCCGGACCCTGATTCGACACAAATGCTATGAGCATGTTAGCGACAATGTTGAAACTGTTCTGGATCACATCCACCGGGAAATCTTGTCTGATACCAAAGCGCAGGGGTTACTTGGTAGCATCCAGCTCCAGCCAGGTTGATTCGGTGCGTTCTCTTGGTTTCACCTGGCCAGCCCAGGCTGAGCTTGCCAGCAAAGCCACCCTTGAACGAAGCCAACTTGGGGGGAACTGATTATGCCGAGCTCAGCTCGAAGTACAAGGCGATCCACGTCAAGATTTTGGTTTGGTGGGTGGCAGCTAAATGTCAGCGATGCGCAGACTTGAAGCCAAGCGCTGCAAAGCTATATGTAAGAACACGTTACCGTACTTTTTTTGGTGAAATCCCATCTAGCCGAAACACCACAGTCCTTCTTTGTTTTTCTTTTGTTGGAATCATTGGACTTGAGGACAGGGTGCTGCAAATGTTGGCCACTTGCACATTCAGCTTGCAGCGGGGCATTGAGCTCTTGGATCAAAGCGGTTTGGTGATGGATTGGGGGAAGGCCCGCGAAGCTTCTGAATCCATACTCCTTCACTCCAAGTCGTTCAGTTGGCTGAGTGCTCATTTCTTTGAAAAGAGGGTTCTCCTTTTTAGGATGAGACCTAAGAGTCACTACATCATGCACCAAGCCCTCGACTTGCAGAAGACTGCTATTAATTTGAACTGCTTCCACACTTTTCAGGAGGAAGCATTTCTAGGCAGGATCAAGGCTTTGGCACTAGCCTGTCACGGTCGCACCATGACAGCTCGAGTGTTTGCCAGATATGTTCTGTGCCTGGCCCTGTTGGTGCACAAGTACCGTCCGGGGCCATAAACTCGAATGGGTTTCATGGGAAGAGGTTGGTTTCAAAACCGCAATGCATGAACGGGTTCACCAAATATGACAACATACACTCACACACGTATAAAGTTACTGTATATATGGAGCGAGGGAGAGAGACAGTTTAACTCCAACAAAATTATGGATCATAGATCCTCCTGCAACGAACAGTGGATGTTGTATATCCCATTCAAGTTTAGCGGGTTTCTTGAACTTGCTGGGAGAAAGAGCAAGGCCGAGCCCAACCCGGCCCAGCCTGAAACACAGGAGCGGCAGACCCACGCCGCGCCGGCGGTGGTTAAAAAGAAGCTGGAATTTGTTTTGTGAAAGGTTGTTGAACGGATGCTGCTGTGAAAGGTTTCTGTTCTAGGAAGGTCTTGTTGAGGTTTTTGATGATTTTTTTGTCGTAAGGAGGTTTTGTTGAAGAACTTGATGAACAAGAGGTGTTTGAGATTTCCTTGCCCAGCGTTCGCGAAGCGCCGCGTTTTCAAGGGAGGTGTGGTGTTGAAGTGTGGTGTGGTGCAGTGTTGGTGGTGGTGTGTTGTGGGCTCAAGCCTGGACTGTTTCTCCACCTCCACTGGCCTCAACTAGCGCTAGTGGCTCTTCCTCACCTGGCTTCAAATAGCGCTGGTGACTTGAACCGCGGCGAAGGATGGCGAGTGGTAGAGGAGCAGCTCTCCAAAACCGTGTTGGCCACAGTGTGCCAAAAAAGGTGTGCTCTCACACAAAAAAGTATATCCCGTGGACAAGTTACCTGACCAAATCTGTTTATATAAGTCGGATGTGAACATTGCACCGGACATATATTTATAATTCACTTCGAGTGATTCCCACCGTGACGTTTCAGACAGCTTACACTGCGCCCAGTGCTTTGTTTTATCTCAATACTCGCTGTTTAGCAGTTCAGCTTCTCCATTTAGCTGACTGTCACACTGGGTGGAAAGCAAACATGTTGGCAAGCAGGATCGATGTCTCAGCTAATCACACTGTGAAGGACATGTGAGGCATACATAATGTCGTTGGCGTGTAGATATGGAAACGGCAGCGCGCCTTTGCAGCACGTTGTCGTGTGCAGCCCCACATGGAAACGACAGCGCGCGCTGTCATTCAAAAAATAACGCGTGGTCGTGTGCAGCCCTGCATGGAAACGACAGCGCGCGCTGTCATTCCAAACGTAGTCGTGCGCAGGCCCACATGGAAACGACAGCGCGCGCTGTCGCTTGCGTTTGAGAAGCTAATTTTTGTTTAGCGAGCTGTGTGTGGATTGCTTTGTATTCTTATATTGTGAGCAATTCACCGGCCAGCGCAAGCGACACTACATCCACTCACGCAATATCATGCACACTTTCACACTTACAGCGCGCCTTTGGCCAAAGATGTGCAATTCATACAAGAGAGGCCAAATACAAACGACATCGTTTTAATGAAAAAGATGTTGTTTGCATCTGTAGCTGTCCCTGGGGCAGCGTTGGATCCTCTTGGCAAGCAACTCAGATCTGTAAAGGAGATCTATGGACTGAGTACGGACGAACTCCCCTGAGGAGCAGGGGGCGATTGTCGCGAGCCAGACGCTGCAACTGATTGTGCGCCAGCGCAGGAAGACTTGTAAGGCTAGAGTCGGCTAGAGGTGTCCTGAGTTAGCAACTTCTGCAAACCCGCCAGGAGATGTGAGACTCGGCTCAGTGTGGCGCGTGGAGATTGAGGCCAACGTCGTGGAATTCGACACCTGCCCATACCAGGAGGGGAAGGTCAGGAGCAAGAACCCAGGAAGTGGGGCGGACGCATTGTCTAAGGTTTGCAGATGCCCGGCTTGGGTGAAGCACCAGGCCCAGATCACGTTGGCAAAGGCTGACCCGGCGGAGAGATACCCCAAGACCTTGTGTGACAAGGTGGCAAAGCTCGTGGTGGCGACCTGGAAGCGGTCACTGAATCTCAGGTCTACACAAAGGGCGAGACAATCTCGGACTTGCAGAAGGGTTGGCTGAATAATGAGGAGCGGAAGATCAAGGGCACGAGAATAGGTGATGTGAAGAGAAACAAGCGGGAGCTAGAGAAGACGAGGCCGCCGAGGCAGGCAGGTAAGGTTCCGGATCAGGACTTCAGGCAGCTCCGGGAAGGCCTGTCGTTGGGGGGTTTGAAAGACCCCGACGAGGCAGTTGAGAAGCTCCCGGGAGTCCGGGAATTCGGCGAGAGACTGCGAGCGCCCGGAGGTTTAAGTCACGCGCGAAACTTTGGAATGAACAAAGCAGGCGTGGAGGCCAGTCAGGCTTGAGGAATGGTGGTGCCGGAAGATGTTGCAAGTACTTGGAGGACCCACGAAGATCGAAGGCGCGGCGTTGAGTTCGAACGTCAGCTTTAGAACTTCGCTGAAGGCGGAGTTGTGGTTGACGTGGCAACGGGCGACGAGGGATCCAGACGATTCCTTGCCGTGGTTTATAATGGACGGAGTTCCTCTGGGTATGTCCGCGCGAATCCCAGGGTCGGAGCCCAATTTAGAGTTGAGCTCGGTGAAACATTGGCATAATTTTCTCACCGACGAGAGGCATCGGGCCTTGCGTGGTCGTGGGAGAGTTGCGCAAGGCGGGCGAGGAAGGCAAATGCCAGAAGATGGCGTGGGAGGAAGCCGAGAGAGAGTTTGGAGCGACGACCGTGTCGCGAGTGGGCCTGATCGAACAGGATCCCGCGGACGGCCGGAAGATCCATATATACTTACGCTGGACTTGGATGAGTCGGGCGGCGACAACCGAGCACAGGCGCAGGAAAGAGTCGTCCTCCCACGAGGTAGTGACGTCGTCCGGTCACTGAGGAAAGCCGCGTCTTGGGACGGTGATCAGACAGCCACAGGATCGTCGGAACGTCAGGAGCTAGAGTTCGTGACGATCGAGGTCCGGGACCTGGCCGGACATTTTCCGGTGGCAACAGAGGAGCTACGGCTTTGCATCAGCCGTGGCCCTGAAAGCGGTAGAGGCTAGGGTTCCGAGCCACTCCATTACTGATGCGTAGATTGGCCGCAGCTACGACGCGTCTGTTGCAAAGCTTGCGCCGGCCGTGGGAAACACTGCTACAATGCCACATGGACGAACTGCTCGTGATGATTCAGGGAGAGAAGGTCCAACGAGACAACGTGCTCGCGATGATCCTCCTCACGATGCGTGCCCTGCGGTCTGGAAATCGAATTGCAAAAGGGCAGCAGGGGCGCGAAAGTGACGTGGGTCAGTATCACGTTGGAGGCGAGCCGCGCGGAGGCATCGGTCGAGCTGGGAGTATCGCAGCGGATGATCACAGACCTGCTGCGAACCTTGACGCGTGGTCAACTCAGGACGCGTTGAGCCTGAACGAGTTGCAGGCGGCCACAGGGGTGCTGGGATGGCTCTCGGGACTGGTGCCCCACATTCGTTGGGCTGCGTCGGTGTTCCGTGCGGTTGTGGGGGATGCGAAGCAGGACGAATGGCCTCAGTTGGATGAGGTCAAGCCCGACAAGAAGCGAGCCAGAGGAGAGGAAGTTCGACCTCAGATGGTGGCTCGAGTCAGGCTGGGAGCAGCGCTACCGTGGATGACAAGATTGAGTCCTGCAGATTGCAACAGGAAAGCTGGTGCGTCGTGTCGAGCCCCTACGCTGGAATGATCTCCAACCACAGTGGGGCGTGGTTACGACTGCATCCAAGCTTAAGGTCACGGGGGGGATCTTGATCCAGATCAAGCCATCAACGCTGGAGCTCACGGTTGTTGAAGGGTTTGTGGCCCCCATCATTCCGGTGGAAGAGCAGTTGCTGTGCCTGGAGATGACCAACGCCACGAGCCGCGTGGTGCGGGAAGCATAGAGGGCCGTTAAGCTAGGGCAACATCGCTTGCGGGGGCAGGCCATCACGGTGAAGGCGGACAATGTCATCGCCATGGGTACGGCGCATCAGCTGTGCTCCCTTTCGATTCCACTGCGTTACCTGGTCTCGGAGTTGGCGCTGCAACTAGAGGTGTTAGGTGCCCCGCTTCGAGGTATTTCATTTACCAGGTAGGTTATAAGTATGATGAACGAGCGGGGGCCCAGACCTCAGGCACTGGAGGGCAGGCCTGTGACAGCTGGGGCAAGACTTCTTTTTCACCCCTCCCGTGCGGCAGCGAATCCCTGGCTCAGCACTGCACCGCACCAGCGCACCATTTGGGATTCCCTGTGAGGTCTAGGAAGACACAACCTTGGAGACCTCAGACGCCGCAACTACTCACCAAGCGGGAACCGTCGACCTTCTGCGCGGCGAGGACTGCTGTGGGCAGAGCCATGAAAGGAGGGAGAGGGCGACTGCCATGTGGAGAAACTACGATGCTGGAGGAATGAGGGATAGCCAGACGAGGGAAGAGAACGAGATAGACAACAGAGCGAGATAGAGTACGCGGGGCAGCTTGAAGAGGAGCCCGCAGAGGGCAAAGAGGAGCCCGCTTAAGGAGGCCATCTGGAGGAGGAGTTCGAAGAGGTCACCTATGCCAGGTTGTTTGCAGAGGTTGCCCGTTCCCATGTCGAGTCACCAGCAAGGGGAGTTGATAAAGGAGAGAGTCAACCAGTGAAAATGAAGAGGAGTTCGGAGAGACCGATCAAGCAGACCAACTGAACATAGTAACATCGGCTCAGCCAGGGGGCGAAGCTACGACTTGGAAGGAGAAGGATAGCCAGACGAGGTGAGGAGAACGAGAAGGACAACACGAAGAGAGAAGATGAGAAGAAGCTCAAAGAGAACCTTATAGTATAGTGCGCAAAAGAGGGGTTCGAGGCCGTCGTCAGGGTTTGGTCTGGCGTAGGCGAACGGTGGGAGAGCGAGTCAGTGCCGAGGACGTTTCGGGAGATTAGCTGGCACGTTCGAACAAGCTGAGGGTGAGTCAGCTTTCAAGGAGAGGAGTTTCGAGCGATTAACGGGCATTCGCCGAACAAGCGGAGACCAAGTTAACGTTCCAGCCCGTCTTAGAGGATGGCACCGACGACTCAGCCAGAGGCCATCAAGCGCGGAGACAACGAGCAGATGCCGGAGAGTATGCCCATGAAGAGGGGAGACACGATTCGCGGGGAAGAAAGGTGCCCGCAGAAGCGAAGACAGCGAGCAGACGCACGCTAGAGAGGACCACGGAGGCAGAAGTTACGGAGGAGGACAAAAAGACCCACGGGCAAAAGTAAGTCAATACCAGCCTTTGTAAACCACTCAAAAGCACCTCGTCCCCCACCGCATGAGCCCAGGAGACGGAACTTCATCGTCAAGGAGATCAACATCATCAGGGGCACGGGAGTTTATCATCTTCCAAAAGCGTGAGGCGGGGAACAGTGAGAAAGGAATGGGCGATCATGTGAGTCTCCTAGAATGGGCTTGAGCACGCCCAGGATAGATTCGGGATATCTCCTTACCCTGAACCTCCTAGAACCCTTATTTAGTGGGACCCCTTATTTAAGGAGTCTGACATAGAAAAATTTAAGGAGTCTAGACTCGTTAATTTAAGGTGTCTTTTTAAGATGTCTAGATGTTGTTGTTTTCATAAAATTTTTGAAGTGAATCCTTCACAGGATTCAAAAATCTTTGATGGGATTGATTTTTTTTTCATAGGTTCCAGTAATCCTTGACAGGATTTCCAAAAGGTTTGTGTAAAAGCTTAATGCAAAATATTAATGATTGGGCAACACTGGCCAACACTCCACCTCAAATCCTTCAAAGGTTTCCTGGTGTGTCAACTGAGGTGAAAAACTCTCTTCAGAGGATTCCTGCAGTGAATGCACAAATGCCAAACTCCCTCCCCTGAATCTTGACTCCAAAGATGCCTGTTAGAATTTGGTGGCATGAAACCCAGGTCGCTGATCTGCAACAAATGATTCAGGTCTGCTCATAAACAGCATGAGTCTTCAGGTTCTCCAATGGCACTTGCACTTCCATAGGTGGAGGCCATTTGCTACCCTTAACAAGTCTTCTTTGCAAATTTCGCAAAGAATTGCCAGGGCAGCTAGTGTGGGTTGCCAAATCTTGAACTCCTGTAGCTTCAGCAGAATGTGCTTCTTGGAACAAAGATTGTGTGTGCCCTTTGACCAGATATACTTCCATCCAGCAGTAGGTCAGCTATGTTGTTTCTCAGCCTCTTTTTGGGGTGCAGGTCCAGTCTTTCCTGCAGAAAGTGTTTTCTTCCATGCATCGACATTTGTTGAATGAAAACAAAAACTGAACATTGAGCCTGAGCATGACCAGGACATGGAGAGGACTGGTTTTATACAAACTATGTGGGCGCGATGTCCTTCAAAGGACAAAGAAAAATTGGATGTGATGTCCTCCAAAGGACAAAGAAAAATTGGATGTGATGTCCTCCAAAGGGCAATTGTTCTTTTTCTCTCACCATGCACATTACAGGACTGCATTAGAAGCATGTAGCCCAAGAAGGCAGGCAGAACAACATTTTCCTTCCAGAAGCATATTGAAGAAGACACGTGCTCTCTGAGCTATATCCAAGTCATGGAATTCTATGGACAAACTCAGGTCCCCCTCTACTCAGGTCAAAAATGACTTGAGGCGCTTGCGCAAAGCTTTCAGGCCATCCAAGTGCATGGAGCCATTGTTGGTGTCACCCTCCAAGGCCTTCTTCAAAGTGGAGCAGTCTGTCTTGTCACTGGAGACCGACATATCCTTTCCCTGAGCCAAGTTGGTCCTCAAGGAAGCCAGCGCTGCCTCGGCTTTGCCCAGAGCATATGACACACTCTTCAAAAACTCGTTGAACTCTGGCTTGCCACTGGCCTCCAATTCTTTTTGACAGGCCGTGCTTTCGAAGACTTGTTTTTCAAGTCTGCCCTTCAGAGCAGCTGCAATTTGCAATTGTGAGTTCAGCTGCACCCAGCTTGGGTTCTCAAGTTTCACTTTGGGATCACTGCTGGATGCTGAATTGCCAATCGCCTTTTGCATGGTGGCCATGCCAAGGTTGGTGCCCAGCTTCATGGTCTGGTCGACTTTGTTTTTGTCCTCTTGGACATGTTTCTGCTTGCTGTACCAGTACTTGGAAAACTCAAGCAGAGCATGCGCCTTGGTACACTCATCCGGTTTGTCAATGCCACATTCATCCCACCACTCCTTTAAAAAAAGCTGCCTTCTGCTCAGTGGTGTCAGTCACTGTCTCAAAGTACTCATTGACCCACTGAAGGTTCTTCAAGCCACCCTCAGTCTTGTAGCGCTCAAGCAAACCCTTCTTGTTCTCCATGGTCATCTGGTTGTAGGCCTGGCAGGGGCACTCTGCCATTTGAACCATTTGAAAGGGGTCAGGTCTGTGAAAATGGAATACATTTGTTTTTGTGAAACCCCACTTCAAGGATCTTACCTGCCTCTGTTTCACCTTTCTTATCCCCTCTGTACTTCAAGCCATTCAGCATCGCATTGAGATCTTTGCGGGTTGAACCTTCTGGTTCTTGATCTTTCTTTGGCTTTGTGGCAGCAGCCTTTTTGACAGCAGGCCTTTTGGGAGCAGCAGCAGCTTTGGCGTCAGTCTTTTTGCCCATGGCTGATGGTTGGATTGAAAACACTAGTCAAGTTGTAGCTTGAAGCTGAATAAGCTGAAGTTTTGCACAGGAAGGTGGGCAAAGAATAGCAGAATAGCACTAATGCCACACAGCAAGAGACAAATCACATCAACAGCTTTTACATAGACTGAAATAGTAATAACAATGGTTCTTTGATAAAAGGTATCATTCCTTCAAAGGATGCCACACAACAATTGAGAAACTGCACCAACAGTTTTTACATTGACTGCAAGACATGAACCTAGTGATTTTGATAAAGTGCACCATTCCTCCAAAGGATCAATCTACTGTTTAGGTCTGATGCCAAGCTCTCAACTCCTGAGCTGAGCCACCTAACCACCAAAGGTTTTGCAAAGGAAGGTTGGCCTCAGAAAGGGCAAGTCACATCAGCAGCCTTTGACATTGACAGAACTGAAAACATGCTTCTCAGCAAGTCTGACCCAGACTTCAATACTTAGAATCTATTGTTTCTTTGCAGATGTGGATTCCTTCAAAGGATCAATCTACATAATCTACTACTTTGGTGTGATGACAAACTCTACTAAATCCTTCAAGGGATTGAGCTCTTGGTTTTCATGGTCAGCTGCTTGAACCTTTCAAAGGATCAACACATCTAGTGTTGAAGTGTAATGCAAAGCTATCAACTCCTGATCTGAGCCACCAAACCTTCAAAGGTTGAGAAGAAGGACTGTGACCTCACCAAGTGCAAATCATCTCTACAACTGTGACAGGGATTGACTAAATGGCTCCCAGCATGATGGCATTGACTATATTCCTTTTAGTGTTCCTTTGAGCTATAATTGAAGACATGATGACATGACATCAGTCGTTCCAAAGGTCTGACCAAAAGCTTTACAAAAATACGCCTGTGAAAATCATGTGAAAAAGTCATTTTTCACAGCCTGTGAAAAAGCGCTTTTCCTTTTAAATTAAAAGGAAAAGTACTTTTTCACAGGCTGTGAAAAAATGACTTTTCACAGGATTTTCACAGGCTTATTTTTCTAAAGCTTTTTGCATGGGTAGCTTGCTGAATCATTTAAAAGATACATATAAACTCACATAGGTTTGTTTGTCTACTGCCAAACTCTCTCAACTCCTGAGCTGAGCCACCACACTACCAAAGGTTCTGCAGAGGGAGGCTGACCTCAGCAAAGATTGAATGAACAAAGGGTTCAACAGGTTTGGCCCTGACCCAAACAAGAACATCTGAGAAAGCTTCTGGGTCCTTCAAAGGATTTTGCTATTGTTTATTGTTTCAGCTTGAATGATCATTGGAAACTGTTTGAATCTTTCAAAGTGTCAATCCTTCAAAGGATCAATCTTCTGAGTCTTTCAAAGGACTGAGCTACTGTTTCTGTTTCATGGCAAAGCTGTTTGAATCCTGAGCCACCTCACCTTCTGAAGAATGGTTTTAACCTCAGAAGAGACAGATCACATCAACAGCTTTGAAACTGACTGCAAACAGATTTCTCAACAGTGACTGGGAAAATATTTTGGCACTTACATGTATTTCTTTGAGACATGCTCTGACTCCTTCAAAGGATTGAGCTGTTGCTTTGTGTGATTCCTTCAAAGGATCAATCTACTGTTTTGGTGCGCAGCCAAACTCTGACAAATCCTTCAAAGGATTGTTTTTTTAAAGTGTTTCATCTTTCTTTGACTTTGTGGCAGCATCCTTTTTGACGGCAGGCTGGATGCTGAGCAGCAGGCTTATCTTTGGGATCACTAGTTCAAATCCGAGTCCTCATCCGTTTCAGGATCAGGAGGCTTCTGTGGCGCTCTGGGGATGCCACTTGACTTTGGCTGTGGTGGAGGCAGCGGCATAGCTCGAGTCCTTGTTCTGCGCCAAGGAGGCATAGGAGGCATTGCCTTCGTCTTGACCCCAGGGTTCAAGGTAATGCCAGGGGTCAAGTCAATGACTGTAGGTCCACTTCGAGGTGGTGGTGCATCTCGAGCTGCAGCCACAAACATTGTGATGAACCTTGTAAGGTCATCCAAAGAGACTGATGAGCCACCATGTCCAGCACTGCTGCCTGATGAGCTGGAGGGCACAATTAGGCTTGGCATTGGTGGCGCAGTTGAGGGGCATCCAGGGCAGCTGCTGCTTCTTGGAGGACTGCAGCTGCCTTTTCTTTTGCAGCTTTGTCTGCAGCTGCCTTTTCTTCTTCAGCTTTGTCTGCAGCTGCCTTTTCTTTTGCAGCTTTGTCTGCAGCTTTGACAGGAGGCGCTTTGGAATCTTTCGTACCAGATGCTTTGGATTCCTCCACCTTTTCCCACTCGTACTTCCCGCATCCAGCAGCATTTTTGAACCACTGCTTCCTCCACTGCAGTGGTTGGCCTGTTTTGGGATGTTTTCCCTGTTTCACGTCTTTGATCCATTGCTTCCTCTTTTGGCCTCCCCCAGATTTTTTGTGCCAATTCCACTTGCCAGCATTGTCATCTTGCGAAGTGGTACCTTGGGAACTGGTACCTTGGGAACTGGTGCCTTGGGAACTGGTACGGGGATCAGGCACAGATGCAGCAATGGCTTTGGCAATGCGCTCTACCCTTGTGGCTTCCATCTGGTCAGGTGTACCTGGTGGCGCATCGGGTTGTCCCCAGGACTGTAATGCAATCCCCAATTCCATGGGCTGCATCCTCATGAAACTCAACTGACAGTGTGGATTCGTACACACTGTCTGTCGGAAATAGGAGGCCTGTCCGCAGCATGCGCAGACTCGCAACCAGTCTGTCTGCCCTGATTGGGTTGCTTGAGTCATTGCAAGCACATATTGGCGGGCAAGCTCTGAGCTCCAGAAGGAGGATTGCTCCTCCATAGGAGCTGGTTCCTCCACCGTAGTTGGTACAGTGCCCATCTCAGGACAGCACAGCCAAATACAATATCGAATTGCTTGGACAGTTTGAAGCTTTAAGCAGCTGCAGGCACAAACAGCTCTCCAAAGAGCTGCCAAGAAACCATGTCCTGCAAAAGGCTCTGCTTTACAACTGGGGTTCCAGCAATCCTCAAAAGGACCACTTCCTCCACAGGAATTCTCCACAGCCGTGATCCTGCAAAGGATGGCAATCTACACATGACATGTCCTGCACAGGACCTGCAAAACCTACACACCTACACATGACATGCAACCCTACCAAAGAACATGCAGAGATGGCCTACAAAGGACAGCAATCTACAAATGACAAAAGAAGACACCAGATTCCTACAAAAGACTGGGAAGGATGACCTGCAACAATCCTACAAAGGATCTATAGTCTATAGCCTGCAAATCCCTTTGCACCTGCTTCTGGCCAGGCTCCTCCAAGACTGTCTCCAAGAAAGGGTTGAAGTCCAAGGTGAACACGGAGACCTGAGACAAGTGGCAAGGACCTGAGAGCAGTTGCAGAAATGGGTTGGGATTCCTTAGGATGCATTTTTCACTTCAAAAAACCCTGTTGCTATTCAGGAAGCCATATCACTTCCTGTGAACAGTGTACTTTGCTTCATAGTGCTCTTTCAGAGCATGGCAGGTGCACCGGCAGTCAGCCAACTTGCCCCTTGCACACTTACATGTCAAACATTCGAGTCCAAGCTTGGAGCTTGACACGTACATCTTGTCCCTGCCACAGTAGATGAGTCCATCAATGCCTCTTTGCACAAAGCATAGGTCGCCCACCCACTTCAGTCGGTCTGGTTCAAGTCCACTTGGGTGCTCAGACTTCCTTTTTTTGACAGAGTCCACTTCATGCTCAGGCTCAGGGTCTAGCTGTGTTGCAACTGAGACCTCAGGGTCTAGCTGGGTTGCAGGCTCCTCATATGAAGCAGAGGGCTGAGAATCAGGGTCACAAGCTTGATTGCAAAAAGATTTTGAGACAAAAGCTACAGATATGAAAAACATACTGGTGCACACCAAAGCAGACAATCCTCTAAAGGATTTGATGCACATCGTCTACAGGATTTCTTCATGAATTGACCAAATTCTCAACAGGATTTCTTCATGAATTGACCAAAAAATTTAAAGAGTCTAGACTCCTTAACTTAAGGTGTCTTTTTAAGGTGTCTTTTTTGAAGTGCAGACTCCTTAATTAAGGGGGCCCCTTAAATAAGGGTTCTAGGAGGTTTAGGGTAGAGGGGATGTGTCGAGGTGATGGTGCTCGATGCCGGTAGAATGGAAGGTGCGCTGGCATAACAACCGCCCCGACGCACGATGAGTGACAGCAAGCAACTAAAAGCTTGGGCGACAAAGTCAGTGGAGGTGGAAGTTGGGGCAAGCCAATACACCTCTGAGACAAAGATCTTGAAGACAGACTACAGAGAGAGAACGCTACCTTTTGGAAAAGGTGTGCTTTGAAGGGTGGAGGGTTGGGACATGATAGGAGTGAAATGACTTGTATGAGTGAATATATTCACCATACATGTCAGGAACTCCATTGGGAGGAGGTGGGTGTGTGCCATTTTGGCTCAAGCACACCTACCTCCTGCTCTCGAAAATTCCCACCCACCCAGACCTATGTGGCAGAGGTGCAAGTTGGCGCAAGCCAATAGGCCTCTGAGACAAAGACCTTGAAGACAGACTACAGAAAAAAAAACGCTACCTTTGGGAAAAGGTGTGCTTTGAAGGGTGGAGGGTTGGGACACGATAGGAGTGAAATGACTTGTAACTGTAACTAGTAACAAGAAGCTACTAGTAACAAGGTGCATCGCTACAAGTAGCTAAGTACATTGCTACTAGTAACAAGGTGCATCGCTACAAGTAGCTAAGTGCATGGTAGTAACAAGAAGCTACTCGTAACAAGGTGCATCGCTACAAGCTGCTAAGTGCATTACTACTAGTAACAAGAAGCTACTAGTAACGAGGTGCATCGCTACAAGTAGC